CGGAAAATTGGTGTTTGATGTTTCAAGAACAGAACAATATAAAGTCTCTAAACAGTCACTGACTGGAAAACACAGCAAGGCAATCTAAGAATGACAACTGAAACCAGTGGGGGGATTCTGTAGGATCTAGTTTGCAAGCGAATGTCAGGGAATCATTATAATGTCTAGCATGCTGAGACAGCATGTCTCCTGTGAATTACCTATAGCAAAAAACCAAAACTTCCATACTAAACCAAGCCCCACAACTGAGGAGATGCCACTGTGAAAAGAAACTAAATTGAGTATTATAGGGACAGTAACCTCATGCAGTGGTTAATTTATGTGTCAACTTGGAGAGTGTTTTTGGGAGAAAGTAACATTTAAATCAGTGAGCTTTGGGTAAAGCACATTTTCCTCCAGAATGGAGATGGGCCTTATCCAATCAGTTGAAGGCCTGTGTAGAACAAAAAGAGTGGCTTCTTCAAGCCAGAAAGAATTCTCTAGCAGACTGCTTTCAGATTTCACCTGTACCATGAGCTCTCCTAGGTCTCCAGCCTACTAGCCTCTAGACTAGAACTGGAACATTGGCTTTCTTGGTTCTCTGCTTGCTGACATCTGGACTGAAACTGCACTGTCACCTCCCCTGGGTCTCCAGCCTACTGGCCCATACTGCATATTTTGGATTTCCTAGCTTCCATAATGGCATGAGCCAATTCCTTAAAAAAAAAAAAAATCAAATAAAACATATGTACACACACGTGTGCATGTGCATATACGCACACACATATACATGCTATTGGTTCTGTTTTTCTGGAAAACCCTGACTAATGCACTTCCCCACCTCCTACTTCACCCTAACACCCCCCCACAAAAAGTAGTGAAGGTTGAAATAAATGTTGGGGGAGTATATCAAAGGAGGCAGCTTTTAGTACATCATAAACTTAGAAAAATTGGATGATTGGTGACAAGGAGGTCTGTGGGGAGGTAGGTGGATAGACCTTTTGGAAGAGACACAAAGGAAGCCCATTTTTATGGACAAAACAAACCTATCCTGTAGATGTTGCCCATTTCATAGCTATCTCAGGACTTGTTTAATGAGTCCATGAACAAAGTAGCTATGGAAGCAGGGATAGAATCTATGAATATGCTCAACAAAATTGACTTCTCTTCACCAAAACTTATCTGGCTACTGGCAGCATTGAATATTCAGCCTGCTGACCAAAGAGGCCAATTCCAGATCCCCAATATAGCACCATTTTCCAAAGGACTAGCCAGCCGCTTTAGTGACAGTTTGGTTACATTGGGCCTCTTCCTTCCATCAGTGAGGAGGCATCACTTGTTTTCATGAGGATAGATTAAGTATTGTGGGTATGGATTTGTCTGTTTCACTTCTACAAATACTACTGTCTTACACTTTTAAAATGACACATATATTCCTACCTATCCCCAAAACATACCACAGTCTGAAAGACACATTTTTTTAAAATTTGTATAAATTTGTAGAGTACAAGTGCAGTTTTGTTACATGCACAGATTGTATAGTAGTCAATCAGGGCTTTTAGGGTATCCATCACCCAAATAATATACATTGTATCCATTAAGTAATTACTCATCATCCATACTTCTCCCACCCTCTCACCTTCTGAGTCTCCATTGTTTATTCCACTGTCTACATCCATGTGTACACTTATGGGTGAGAGCATGCTATTTTTGTCTTTCTGCTTCTGGCTTGTTTCACTTAAGATAATGACCTTCTAGTTCTATCCATATTGCTGCAAAAGGCATGATTTCATTTTTCATGGCTGAATAGTATTCCATTATGTATTTATAACACATTTTCTTTATTCAGTCATCTGTGGCTGGACACTTAGGTTGCTTCCATATCTTTGCTATTGTGAATAGTGCTGCAAATAAACATATGAGTGTAGTTATTTTTTGAAATATTGACTTCTTTCCCTTTGGGTAGATACCCAGGAGATTGGGTCGATTCTGGATGGAATGGTAATTCTATTTTATTTTTTTGAGAAATATTCATACTGTTTTCCATAGAGGTTGTACCACTTTGTATTCCCAGCGATAGTGTATATGTGTTCCCTTATCTCAACATCCTTTCCAACCCTTGTTATTTTTTTCTTTTTAATGATAGCCATTCTGACTGGGTTAAGATGACATCTCATTGTGGTTTTAATTTGCGTTTCATATACTTGTCCATTTGTATATCTTCTTTTGAAAAATGTCTACTCACATACTTTGCTTACTTTTTAATATGATACATTTTTTGGTTGAATTGTTTGAGTTCCTTATATAGTCTGAGTATTAGTCCTCTGTGAGATGCATTATTTGCAAATATTTTCTCCTATTCTGCATGTTGTCTATTAATGCTGTTGATTATTTCTTTTGCTGTGCAGTATCTTTTTAGTTTAAGTCCCATTTTTCATTTTAATTATGTTTTTAAAGTCTTAGTCATAAATTCTTTGCCTAGACCAATATCCAGAAGAATTTTCTGTAGGTTTTCTTCTAGTATTTTTATAATTTCAGGTCTTATAGTTAAGACTTTAATCCATCTTGAGTTGATTTTTGTATATGTTGAGAGAGAAGGGTCCAGTTTCATTCTTCTGCTTGGGAAGGGCCAATCCAATTTTCACAGCACCATTTACTGAAAAGGGTGGAGGACAGTTTTTATGGCAAAGGATTTATGAAAATGGACTGTATCTTGGAATTCCCTGGTCTTATTACATTTTTAATTATACAAAGGCAACTGGCTTTATAGGACCGTGTATTATCAGGCTTAGTTTTGGCACCAGCTAGAAGACAATATTGAGGTTAGGGTATATACTTTAAACTCTGACAGTTTATGATTTCATCTTTAAGAATGCATGGGTCCAGGAATAAAGTCTTGTAGGTTGGAGTAGCCTCTGTAATTATTTAACCAAATAACCTATTGGAGTAATTTTTGCTTCCCACTTCTGTGACCCTGGGTTTGGTGAATTTGAGGGTCCTGACGCCCAAGGTAGGAAAGCTCTCCAAGGGAATACAGTTATTATAATCTGTAGAGGTAGAAGCTGAGGTTATACCCTGGTCAATTTGGACTCTTCCTGTTACTGAACTAACAGGCATCAAAGGGAGATACTGGGAGGGGGGCGGGTATATACATACATAATGAGTGAGATGTGCACCATCTGGGGGATGGTCATGATGGAGACTCAAACTTGTGGGGGGAGGGGGGAAAGGGCATTTATTCAAACCTTAAAATCTGTACCCCCATAATATGCCGAAATAAAAAAAAAAGGGAGATACTGTATTAGTAAGAGCAATTATCCTAATACTATGTAAAATTAAGAGGACCATGTCTGGAAACCAGAGGATTCACTATGTACCTGTTAGTACTCTTATGCCTATTAGTTCTCTATCTCTGTTGCCCTTGGCAGCTAAATTTGAAAAAGTTGTCTACATTCGTTATTTCCAGTTCCTTTCATCCCCTCATTGCCACTCTAAAACAGTTCTTTCCAAGGTCTCTGCCACATTGCCAAATCCAAAGTCAGTTTTTAGCACTTTCATTGACCTCTCAGCAGTATTTGACACAGTTGATTTCTACCTCCTCTTATTATAGTTCACCATATCAAACTCTTTATTTTCTTTTTCTGACTGATATTCACCCTCAGTGTTATTTGTTGATTTTGTTTTTTTCCCTACAGACTCTTAGTTTTAAAGACTTTCAGTTATTTGACATTGTCTTAGTCCAGGTACACTATAAGAGGAGCTTAGTAGAACTCCTGGTTGATGCAGACTAAAATTGTGTAGGCTTTTCTGACATGTACATCATACTGTAGACTCTTATAATATTTAACGAAACATCCTAATATATTTCTATATATACTATCATAAAGCCACATACTTCTCTCATTGTATAGTTGATCAGTTGGCATTTTATAGTATAGCCAAGTAAACTACCCTTGTTGTCTTTTGTATAACTATCTTCCCAGTCTATTGAGATCTTTGGGGAACTTAATGCTATTTTGAAAAGTATTTTCTATCCCTTTCAATGTCATGTTATACAAAAATTTGATAAGCATGCTTTGATGGAATTCACATGTACTATATTTAGTGTAATCATGTTTTAAAAAGATATAGATTAGTCTGAAATTGAATTCTGGACATGATGCTCCATCACGATAAGCAGGAACATCTTCAAGAGTGACCAGGGAAGTAAAGCATATCAAAAACATGTATATTAGGAACATTTAAATCAGCTAGGGATATTTTTCTTAGAGATGTCTCAAACAGTATATGATTATTTCCAAATAGTTAAAAGATAACCCATGTGGAAAAGGGACTGATTTATATGTTCCACTCAACTTGAATACTTCTTATCTCTCTTCTTTGCTTAACTTTCTTTCTTCACTATTAATATATCATATATGCTACTTATTCTTTGTGTTTGTTTCCTCCCTCCCACCCCTGCCATACTAGGATAAAAGTTACATGAGGGCAAGATTTTTTTTCTTTCACTTTATTCACTACTACCTTATCCTTTATGCCCACAAAAATGCCTGGTCCATAAGTGCTGTTAACAAATATTTTGTTGAAAGATAAATGGCCACAAGGGATGGAATTTAATGGGTGAAGCCTCATAGATTCAAATTTTGTCTCAGGTGAAGGGGAAACTTTGTAAGAAATATCAGACCTTTATAGCATGGCTAGGAAAGGAGTGTGTATTCCAACCCTGGAAGTGTTAAACCAAACCATGTGCTTCCTGAGCTAACACTTGGTGTAAATGCTATAGAAGTGATGCTAGTAGGAATTTGATACTAGATAATTTATTTTCTTGATGGGATTCCATAATTTTATAAAATATATTTAAACTAACTTTTCCTTTTCACATGGAGAGTGAGCAAATGCCCAAATTAAACTCACAGTCTCATATACAATGTATGTTATAATATTGTTTGGTCTTGAACTTAGAAAAAGTACATGTAACAACTCTTATTCTTGGGTTTTATGCCCCTTCTTTTTTCTAAAAGCAGTGATTCTGAAACACGGACCTCTGATAATTTGGGAATAATTGTTGTAGAAACATCCCAGAAAATAAGTCCTACAGAAGATAGAAGAGACCAGAAAGAAAGTGATCAAACAGAAGACAGCCAAACACAAGGAAAAGAAATAGTACAAACCTACTCAAATATAAATGACAAGTCTCAAAAGGTATATGATACAATTTTGCCTAATTGTAAACAATGTTCTTAATTTTATCTTATGCTTCATAATTTAAATTAGTAAATATTGCCAGTGATTTAATTTGAATCCCTAAAAATTGAGTTTTCTTTAAAATATACAGTGAAAATATTCACTTTTTAAAATTTTCCAAGTCCAGTTTGTTACAATCTTTTGCATAGATGAAAATGGAAATAAATACTATTCTTATAAATATAAATCTGAAGGTATTTGTGTTTCAGCAAGAATATAATAAAGATGATAAGTTCATTATTGTTTTCAGGTATATGAAATGTTCCAACTAAAGAAACTTCTGTTTTTACATTAGCTTTTGTGGTAATAAAGTCACTTAAGTCTGCCCATATCTTTGAATTACTTATTTTTTACCTTGTTCCTCAATGTATTTTAAATTTTGAAAAATTGTTGTTCTAATACAACTTATTCAATAATTCCTACCACTAAAATATCATGACATCAAAAGTTTACCTATACAGCATAAAGCATTGAAAAATTGAGGAAAATTATTTTATTTTGTTGTAAAAATCAAGTTATCTTTGAGTTAACCTATAGGATTCTTTTAAAACATAATCCAAAAAAAAGTTAATTTTTTGAGATCTTGCCAGAACTTTGGAGGAAAAAGGTCTGTTTTACTTACTACCAGAATAATGTTCAGACCAACAATTATATGCTAAGAGCCTGCTGATTGATTAATAAATTGATAAGTAGATTTTATTAAAATTACCTATTTTGCTATATATTATTTGGTTAGGAATTTTCATTATTTGCAGCTTAATGAGTTTATAATTAAAAGTAATTCATAATTACATTCATGTAACAAGAAGTATACTATAAACTACTTTGATTAGATCTGTCATATTGTTGACAGTCAGAAAATAAATGTTTACCAAATAGTTCAAGTGTGTTTGGAAAATATTAGAACTTCTCACTAACCCCAAATATATTCATTATCCTAACTTTAACTTAATGACTTCCCTGCTTTTCTTTATAATATTACCTGCCTTGACATTATGTTTTTGAACTTTGTGGAATCTATATAGTATATCTTTTGTGTCTGGCCTCTTTTGTTGAATATTATGAGTTCATTCACTTTCATTGTTATAGGTAGTACTTCATTGTCTGAACATACCACAATTTATCCTTTCTACTGTTGAAATTTTGGTTGCTTCAGTTTGGATTTCTTGCAAATAATGCTGCAATGAATATTCTTGTACATGTTCTCTGTTGCACAAGTGTGGGCATTTCTGTAATAAAAAGCTAGGAGTGGAATTACTATACCATAGCTTGTGTGTTTTTAAGATTTTAGTTGACAATGCTATTTTCCAAAGTGTTGTACCACTTTTTTGTACCCACTATGGAAATTTCCACTGCTCTTCGTCAACACTTAGTATGTTAGTCTTTCTCATTTCAGCCACTTTCTGTGCATATATTGAGTTGACTAGTTAGGTACCTCAGAAAGGAACACTATGTTGGTGAGTTCTCTGGTTTTTCATTTTGCTTCATGTATCCTGGCCTGGATACTAAATAAATCAGCAACCTGGAAACCCCAATAAGTCAGATGAGATGAGCCCCCAATGAAACTGGGCTTTTTCTAGCCAAAGGATCAGGAAAAGGCCAGCCTACCAAGACAGAAAACTTTGCACAATAACTGCCCTACTCCAGCCAAACACCACAGAAAAAGTTGCAACCCCACTTTCATCCCCTTCAGTGAAGACCTAGTGGGAACCTAGACTTTCATTCTTACCTGGCTATGAGGAGGCAACCTCCACCCTTTCCTCCTTCCATTAGAGTGGTGTCAGAGAAGACCAAGTAGGGAGCTAAAGGTAATGACTCCTTCCCCTCCATGTCATTGGAGACCACATAGACAGACTGGATATTCATCTCCAGTAGTAAAGAGGTATATCTTTCCCTTCCTAGCAGAGTGATTTCAAAGCCTAAGTTCAGAGATAGGGAATTTCCTAATGAGCCCCTACCTGCTCCCCATGGTGTCAGTAGAAGCCAAGTGGGGAGCATAAACAAGGTCCCCTTCCATCATCTAGCCATGATGGTATCAGCAGAGGCCTATTGGGAAGCCTGAATTTCCACCCCCATCAAGCAGTAATAAGTAATAAGGTGCTTGTCTCCAACCACAGTATCAAGAGAGACTGGACTTGCACCCCCAACTGGCAGTAATTTGATGGTATGCTCCTTTCCATCAGTGTAGTGTCAGAGGAGACCTGTTCAGATAAGAAGTAAATAAGATCCAGAGTCTTGAAACATAATATCCCAAATGTCCAGATTACAATTGAACCTCACACATCATACCAAGAACCAGGAAACCTTAATTTGAATGAGAAAAGACAGTCAATAAAAGCCAAAAGCAAGATGTCAGATATTGGAGTAACAGACTATTCCCAACTTAAAATGATTGACTTAAGTAAGGTTTTTTTCAAGTTTGCAATGAAGTGAAAGCATTATGCTTTCAGTAGAAACCTTACTTTGAGAACCGAAACAACCATTCTGTTTTTCACTTTCAGCATAGTTTTCAATAAATTACATGAGATATTCTACACTTCATTATAAAATAAGCTTTGTGTTAGGTGATTTTGCTGGGCTGTAGTCTAATGTAAGTGTGTTCTGAGCAGGTTTAAGGTAATCTAGGCTAAGCTATGAAGTTTGATAGGTTAGGTGTATTAAATTCATTTTTGACTTACAATGTTTTCAACTTAACAATGGACTTATCATGATATAACACCATAGTATGTTGAGTATAATCTGTAAATGACAAGCATTTTAAAAGTAACTGCCATAAAAATTCTTCGACAAGCAATTATGGACAGTTTTAAAACAAATGAAAAAATAGAGCATCTCAATACAAAAATAGAAAGTCTCATCAAAGAAATAGAAGATATAAGAATATCCAACTAGAAGTTTTATTTTTTTTAATTTTAATATTTAGTTATCCAGCTAATTTCTTTCTATTTTTAGTAGAGACAGGGTCTCACTCTTGCTCAGGCTGGTTTCGAACTCCTGACTTTAAGTGATCCTCCCGCCTCGGCATCCCAGAGTGCTAGGATTACAGGCGTCAGCCACCATGTCTGGCCCCAAATGGAAATTTCAGAAACAAAAAATAAGTTTATGTTTACCTCACGATGGTGGCATCAATCTTCATCCCTCAAAATTGATTCAGATGTCAAGAAGGATGACACCATACACCCACCAAGAAAGGGGGAAAGATTTATTATGCACACAAGGGAACAGAGCATCTGCAAATGGATCCACACAAGTATGAACAACTGATTTTTGACAAAGATGCAAAAGCATTTCAATAAAGGAAGGATAGTCTTTTCAACAAATGGTGCTAGAGCAATTGAATATTCCTAGACAAGAAAAAGGGAACTCATACCTAAACTTTGCACCTTATGCAAAAATTAACTTGAGATGGGTCACATATAAACATAAAAATTAAATTGTAAGACTTTTAGAAGACTATATAAGAGAAATTATTCAGGACCTAGAGTGTGGTGAAGAGTTTTTAGACACAATATCGAAGCTTGATTCATAAAAGAAAACATCAATAAATTGACTTGATCAGAATTAAGAACTTTTCCTCTGCAAAAGACCCTAGTTAGAGGATAAAAAGACAAGCTACAGACTGAGAGGAATATTTATAAACTACATATCTAACAAAGGTCTCACATCTTGAATATATAAAGAGTTCTCAAAATTCTACAGTAAAAAATCAATCCAATTAGAAAATAGGCAAAAGACATGAGCAGACGTTTCATCAAAAAGGATATATGGATGACAAATAAACACATATAAAGATGTTCAACTTCACTAACCATTAGGGGAATTAGGTTAAGACCATGATGAGTTATACATCTATTAAACTAGCTAAAAAAAATAGTAACAATACCAAATTCTGGCAAGGATGAAGAGAAACTGGATTTTGCATACATTGCTTGTGGGGGATATAATATGATACAGTACAGTGCTCTGGAAAACAGTTGAGCAGTTTCTTAACTAAATTTACCATACAACTATCATGTCCTTGGACACTCTCCCACAGAAATGAAAATTTATGTTTACCAAAAAAACCTGTATGTTAGTCACAGCAGTTTTATTTGTAATACCTGAAAACTGAGGACAACCAAAATTTTCTTCCTTAGTTGAACAGTTAAGCAAACTGTGTTGCATCCATAATACAGAATACTATTCAGCAAGAAAAAGGAACAAACTATTGATATACAAAATGTATATCAAGTGTGACCTCAAATTTCTCATCTTGGCTTGTCAACTAGGACTTAATTCCTGACTTAAGCATTCTGTGTTGCTATTTAAATGGAATTCCAGGGTCACAGGAAATTGGCAATTGTCCTACATTTTGCTGGCCACTTTGTTGATCACTTCTTGTTTTATTGGGATTTCCACTTTTTTTGGCCTCTAACAATTTCATGTGAGACACTTTAAGTGTGTTCATTTCACAGTATGCAAATCTTTCTGAATTTCTAGTCAGTACTGTAAATAGAAGCCCAGTTCTTTTTAATTTTAGGTCCAGTTAATTTGATACCAAATCTTGTGATGAATATTGGTAATTTAATTAGTGGTTTTGTTTTGGATTTTTCACAGTGCTCAGTATGTGACTGACACTTAAATACAAATTGAATTTTTAAGGAAGTGATAAAACATTTTAAAAATATATCTGTTAGTTCTGAAGACAAGTTCAAATGAGGCATTTCAAAAATATTTTGAGAAATGCAACATTGGTAGGATTTTATAATCTCTGAAACTAGTTTAAAGGAAAACCCTATCCTAGCTAGAGTTTTCTGGTATATGTGTTAATATAATAAACTGGTTTCATTACTTTAGGGTCATGCCTTATGTGTAATATAAAATGCTTTATCAGTATAAAATACATGGCTCATTGTCAAAGTAACAGTGAGTCAGATTTATTTTTTCATATATTTTTACCATGATTGTGTGTTCCTTAATTTGGATCTTTGAAAAGTTTCTTTTTTTAATAAGAAATAATTTTCTAGATTCAACATATTCTTGTTTTCCAACTAATAAATTCTTAAATTAGACCACCTTTTTAATTACTGGGATTTGTAATATTTTTGAAACATTTCTATTTAAAATTTTGCTTTGTGAAAGTATTTTTAAATTGGTGAAACATTTTGGAATAAAAGTCAACAGGGCTTCATTTGTTTTTTTTTAGCCTTTGTATTGGCATGTTTTGAGGAAAACATAAAGTTTCAAGAAAAGTTACTTTATTATTATCAACATTATTTTAGCTTGATTTGTCAAAAGGTTATTAGCTTCATTTGTTTACATACATAGGGAAAATTGCGAAAGGACCTAGATTTTCAGAGACTAAGTTGTTAATTATTCATATTTTGCTTATGTTGCTGTTACTCTACTTACTCCTAAGTTTTTGAAATGTCCCATGTTTAAATTTACACTTTGAGTTGATTTTGTATCTGTATCTTCTGCCTGCTAGTTCAAGTTTAGTGCCTGTATTAAGTTCTGGGTATCAATTATAAAATTTTATTATCTAGACTTTTTTTAACTCTACATAAATAAATGTATTTTTATGTAAAGAGATATTACTATATTGGTTCAGTGATGTTGTTATTGAATAATAATCCAATTTTTATGAAACTTTAAATTTAGGATCATTTTCAATATAAGAATACCAAAAAACCAACTTTTCAAAAGAAGAATGACAACATGCAAAACATACCCCCTACCAGAGGTAAGAATGCACATGAAATTAACAATATGTCTTCTAAAGTTTAATCTGATTTTTAAAATATTATGAACATTATTTTTATATAGTCAACAGAGAAAAGTGCAAAAGTATAACTGCCCAGAAATCAAGTAGCAGTGTTATTTTATTACGAGAACGGATTATAGCCTTGCAACAACAAAATAGTATACTTCTGAATGCAAAAAAAACAGCAGAATTGTCTGTTAAAGAATATAAAGAAGTTAATGAAAAGCTCCTCCATCAACAGCAAGTGTCTGATCAACGATTTCAGTCAAGCAGACAGACAATAAAGGTAAAGAGACTTTAAGATTGAATTATAATACACTATATTTGTAAAAGTGAATATTTTGTTTTATATGTGTTTAGTTCATATTTGTGTTAGACAGGTCTATGAGTAAAATAAAAAACTCCAGACACTGTTAAATAAAGTGATTAGTTTAATTACTAGACTATTTTAGTAAGGTCTATATTAAGAGATAACATACATGAGGTAGGTAACTCCAAATCAAAAAAGACACTTTACTGGCATTTCTATATCACTTAGTTTTTCTATTCTTTTGAGTATTTTTGTATGTTCTGTATTGTATTATATCTTAGCTTTTACATGCTGGCTTCATAAATGCATTTAGCTTACCCATTTGCCTATGTCTAAAACTTTGTATTTATTATCATAAATTACATTATTAAATTATTAAATTATTATATTCCTCAGTTAGTCTTTGCAAATACTAGTATAAAATGTGAAGCTTTAAATATAAATATGTATATTAATGTATTCCAATAACCTATACATAGTTCTTTTTTACTCAGGTGAATTGAGCTTTTTGCAACAATTTTCAGACACATTATACCTTACTCTTAGTTATCATAAGTTAATCTTAAGCAAATGAAAAAGAAAAGATTTTTTTCCCATAAATCTCCATTCTTTAAGATACTTGCTTGACTAAAGAATAATTTGTTGGCAATTTGTTGTTTTACACAGAAAAATTCATTTCATCGTATTAGAAAATTTTTAGGTTTTTAAAATTTTTTAAATCACTGTCACATGTATTTTTAAATTACACTTAAATTCTCTAATTCTAATATCTAGTTCTTTGAGTCAAACAGTAGTTAGAAATATATTAATTGTAAAGTATTAGTGTTGTACGAGTTATACCAATAAGAATTGTGTTCTGACTTTACTCTCAGAAGTAGCCTTATACCCAAACCTTACCTAAATTCCAAATTCACACTGGAAGTTTGAGGATTTTACAGGCTTGGCCCATGGAAATTTGGAGTAGGACACCAGATGCAACTGAGCTCTGGTGTTAGAGCCCTGTAGATGTTAGAGTTTGGACATAGTCACTGATGCAACAACCAATGTATGGAAACTAGATTTCCCCAAATAATTTAATGAACCCATACTCATTTACCTGGCTGAAATTTTCTTTTCTTTTCCTTTTTTTTCTCTCTCTAATTTTCTAATGCTGTCGTAAACATTCATATAGCAGTTTTTTAGTAGATATGTTTTCATTTCTCTTGGGTACATACCTAGGAGTGGAATTGCTGTGTCATATGGTAATTTTATCTTTAATCTTTGGAGGGACTGCCAAGCTGTTTTCCGTAGCAGTTGTATAATTTTATACTGCAACCAGCACTGTATGAGAGTTCTGATTTTTCCACATCCTCACCCATATCTATGACCTGTCTTTTACGTTATACTTTCTACCCGAGTCTGTTACGGTAGTTCTGTCTTTTTAGGAATAGGTCCATTTTCACCTAGGTTATATAATTTGTTGGCAATTTTTTATAGTATTCACTCACAATCTTCTCATTATAGGAAGGTATGTAGAAATGCCCCATGCTTTCTTATTTTAATAATTTCTGTCTTTACTCTTCTTTACTTGTTGAGTTTAGCTACAAGATTTGTCCATTTTGTTGACATTTTTAAGGAACCAGCTTTTAGATTTGTTGTCTCTATTTTTAATTTCCTGTTTTATACATTTCTCTTTTAATCTTTGTTATTTCCTATTTATACTTTTTTTTGGTGTAGTTTACTCTTCTATTTCTATTTTCTTAAGGTGGGAGGTTACATTATTGATTTACAATCTTTCCTATTTTTAATATAGGTGTTTACAATTATACATTTCCCTCTAAGGACTATAATAGCCTTGGTATGTTCTGTTTTGATTTTTACATATGTCGGAGTATTCTCTAATTTTCCTGTGATTTCTCTTTTCATCCACTGCTTAAGAGAGTATTGTTTAATTTTCACATAGTTCTGAATCTTCTAAATTTTCTTCTGTTATTGATTTCTGTTTTTATTCTATTGCGATGAGAGAACATACTTTGTATGATCTTAGTCTTTTTAAATGTATTAAGATTTATTTTGTGGCCTATGATATGGTAGATCCTGGAGAAGTTTGCATGTACATTTGAGAAGGATGTATACTCTGCTGTTGTTTGGTTTGAATGTTCATATTATCTATTAGAGCTAGTTGGTTAATAGTGATGTTCAACACTTGCGTATCCTTGGTTCTATTAATTATTGAGTGGAGTATTGAAATCTCTCACTATTCCTATTTTTATAACATTTATTGAAATATAATTCACATACCATACAATTTTCTCATTTAAGGTGTTTAATTTAGTAGTTGTTACTTTATTCACAAAGTTGTGCAACCATCACCAAAATCAATTTTAAAACATTTTTATCAGCTCAAAAAGAAGCCCTATATCCTTTAGCTATCATCTTTTTTATTCACCCATTTTTTCTAGTTGTAGGCAACCACTAATTCACATTCTACTGATATCAATTTGCCTATTCTATACAATTTATATAGATGGAATCATACAATATATGGCTTCTTATGTCTGGCTTTATCTTGTTTGAGCTCAAATTCAGGCTCATGTACCTGATGTACAGCTAAAGCCAAACACTGTGACACCAGTGCTTGGAGATAAAGAAGGGTTTATTCGATTTGGCTAAAGTTAAAAGAAGGGAGAGCAGAGTCTCTCATATCTCTTTTTAAAAAATGAAGCAAGGAGCTTTTGTGTAGCTAGAGAATTAAGAGGGGGACGGAGAAGGTATTTCAGAGAACTGAAGGGGGAAGTTTGTGTTGCTTTTAGTCCCAGATAACACCTTGAGAAACCAGACTTATGGGCATCAGGAGCTAGTCACAGCTTTTTCAAGGGCATTCATTCCTTCTGTAAAATAAGAGACCTTGGAGTTATTATCTTCTCCTGCTTGACAAATAGTATATCAGCAGGTAGTAATTACTGTGAGAACAAATGATACTAGGCAGGAAGCAAGGGTTATCATGTGCAAGCAAGGGCCTATTCAAATTTTACATTATTTCAGTCATTAAAAAAATGCCAGCGTACTAAAATCTCAAAGGCCTGACTACACTTTCACTTACCATAATATTTTCAAAATTTATCCATGATGTAGCATATATCAGTATTACTGTAAGAACTTTGAAAATTTACCCTTCCATAAAGTCAATGAAAAAACTGCCAAAAATGGTCAGGAATCACTATTTTCATACCACTGGTTATAGAACTTAATCTTCTAATGATTAATATAAATCCCTAGGGCTATTAATTGATGGCCCAAGGAAGTCACAAGTTTTCTAAGCCATGACTTCCTCATCTTTGAAAAGATTGAAGGTCTAATAAAAAGTATTTACCTGACAACTATAAAAATATGAAATATTTTATTGAGACCCCTCTGTGCACATTGAGGGACACTTATAATTTCTCTACAAAACTCTGGAAAATATCCCAAAGCTTACAACGATGTAGGGAATGTATATTCAAGAAAAACAGCCAAATCTCAGTAAGAACACCAAATTTTGTAGCATTTTAATTTGCCTTAGTCCCATTTTCCACTCTTAGCTCAGCAGTAGCCTGAGACAAATAACAGTCCATGTTTCCCATGTAGCCTACTCCAAAAGAAGCAGAATGGACCTGGAGCTCTTTCAAAGCCTCATTTCCAAATAATTGTCGTCATTTAACCTCTGAAGGTTCTCTAGAAGACCCCAGTTAAAAAGATGACTCTGATCGCATTCAGTGTGAACAGCTTTCCTCCTGACAAAGAATGGGTGGGTGGGGTGTCAAAAATAATTATAGGCCAATGTTTTAACTTAATAGCTGCCTGAGATGACAGATTCCGATTTAGGCCAGACAATGTATCAACCAAATGGCTTAGAGAAAAAGTCTGGAGAATGAGATATTCATAAGTTTTGAAGAGCTCCGACATGTTCCTGGGAATCTGGAGGTCACATGCATTCACAGAGCTGTGTGCACGCTCAGGGAAAAACAGAAAAGCCTAAACTCTCACCTCTGGCTATTTGAGGCTGAGCAAGAAGATAGTAAATGTTAAGATGATACTGTTCCTTGCAGCATTATTAATAATAGCTAACAAATAGAAACAACCTAAATGTCTATTAGTTGATAAATGGATAAAGGATAAACAAATAGTGATTTATATATGCAATGAAATATTATTCAGCCACAAAAAGGAAAGAAATATTGACACATACTACAACATGATGAACTTTGAAAACATTATGCTTAGTGAAAGAAGCCAGAAGACCACATGTTATATGATTCCATTTATTTGAAATATCTGGAATAGGCAAATATGGAGAGCTAAGAAGTAGCGTACTGGTTATTTAGGATTGGGGAAAAAAGAGAATATAAAAGTAATTGGATAAAGTATATGGATTAAAGTATATGGATAAAGTATATGGATTTCTTTGTAAAGTAATGAAAATGTACAATTGTGGTGATTGTTGCACATATCTGTGAATATACTAAAAACATTAAATTGTACACTTTGAATCATATGGTATGTGAATTGTATCTCAATAAATCTTTTAAAATAATATTGGTATAAGGAAAACTCACAGACATATAGTCATATCTGCATAAATGTTGCTGATAATGCATTGACTTATTGTTGACAGACTACTTTAACAAAAATCACTCTCTATTCAAATTAATAAAGTATACTACCAACATAAAAATTGATTTAAATAGTATGGTAAAATTTAAGAGATATATAATATTTTATTTATTTATTTTTTAATTGATATATAATAATTGTACATGTTTCTGGGGGTACATGTGATATTTTGATACATGCACGTAATATGTAATGAGCTAAATAACATTTTTGGGTGTTAAAAGAACCTAATATTACATAAAACATTTGATCTCACTTATTAAATTTTGATCTCACTTATTATTAAATTTAACAAAGTAAAATATATTTAAAGTAAATTTTATTAAAATTAATTTGTAATTAAA